ACTGCCGCTCACTGGATGTTTTTTCTTTTTCGGACCATTCTCTGTAAACCCTAGAGATGGTTGTGCGTGAAAATCCCAGTAGATCAGCAGTTTTTGAAATACTCAGACCAGCCCTTCTGGCACCAACAATCATGCCATGTTCAAAGTCACTCAAATCACCTTTCTTCTCCATACTGATGCTTGGTTTGAACTGCAGGAGATTGTCTTGACCATGCCTACATGCCTAAATGCACTGAGTTGCCGCCATGTGATCGGCTGCTTAGAAATTAAGTGTTAACGAGCAGTTGGACAGGTGTATCTAATAAAGTGGCCGGTGAGTGTACAGCTCAGCCCAGCTATCGGGAGCAGATCATTGTTGCTGTTTCTGGCATTATTGCTGAGTTTTGACTTTAGTTCATGTTCTCATTCTCAGGGGCCAGTGGTAAGAGAGGGGTTTTAGTCTTTTTGTAGAGTTGCTGACCGCAGTCAAGTTTTAAAGTACTGTAGTTTTTCTGTTTTCATGCCTTGTTCTGCCTCTCAACTACTGAGCTTGCCTGTTTGCATCTGAACGTTTTGCCTGAACTCTCTGTGGATTCCCGGAACCCTAGACCTGCCTGTTCCTGTTCTGCTCGGAACCCCTTACGGACTCTTGGATCTCTGAGCCTATCTGTTCTGAACTTTTCTTCTGACCTGTCTTGGATTCATGCTCATTCACTGGGGCTGCAGCATCTAGTTCACTGACTCCTGCGGTATCATCAAATTGGCAGCACTCCGGCTGGATTCTGCTGCGCTCTAAGAAGTTGGACTGAACTATCAAACCAGGTAAGTTACCTTCATGGATAATCATCTCCTGTCAGATTATCGTGGTCACTTACCTGTGTTTCTCTCTAAATCAGAGTTTCCACTGATGGATGGTGCCCCGCCTCCATACCATCCCCTGTGAAATTTTATTACTGACTGTATATATGTCTACTATATATTAACACTAATGGCATTAATATTGCCCTTTCAACATTTGGCAGGCTGTGTACTTACGAGTAGCCTGACCAAATTACGCAATTTCATTTTCGACCTCAGTGGCGCAACCATCAGGTAACGATGTTCTGAACAGCATTTCGGCCAAGCAGCAAAGACAACGCGATTTGAGGGACTTCATTTTAAGAAGGGAAACAACTAACACTTAAGTTAAGTCAAGAGTCAGAAGTAGTGATGAGTTAATGAGTGTTTCGACACATTGCCAAACTGTATTGATAATTCGTTAAAACTGTCTCACAGAATATGGACACCTGCTGGACCTTTAAAGCCACTACAGGCAGCTTATTACACAAACTAAACTGAATTCATCTGCTGACCTAGAACTATTATTTAAGTTATTGTAAGTTATATAGTATTATTTCATATCTATGTTTAAATTGAAAATATCTTTGATATTTTTTGATGCAGCCAATAAATAATGTAAATATATAAAGTGAAAATTTAGGGGAAAATGCGAATGAGTATGCCTGTGGACTAGGATTTTAAAGTTTTTAAGTACAGTAAAAACAGTGAATAAACTAACAGTCAATTTGAAATTAACTTTAATAGGTTGAGTGATAACTGAGAGGAAAAGTATGACACAAAGAGAAAATTAAAATAAAAACGCAACAGCTGAAACGTCCCCGCTCCAAAATTCCTAATAACTTTAATGATAAACCGCAAAAGATCAGACATTTTTTAGCAGATGCATCATGTTGACAGATACATTTTTTAAACACAGTTCAGTGTGTCAGTCAGTCAGAAAACAACTCCTGTATCTGTCATGAATGAAGACAGATGGACCCAGTATTCAAGGAGAGACAGTCAGTAGGAAAGTTCAAAACGTTTATTAAATAATAAAACAAAAACTAAAGTGGAGCTGTGGCTCGCGGGCACGGCAGGATGGGGAGCAGGGCACCGCCCAATCACAGAACTCTGCAGGAGAAACACAGGTAAGTGACCACGATCATCTGACAGAAGATGATTATCTGAGTTGGTCACTTACCTGGTTTAACAGTCCAGTCCTGGAATGTCCCAAGTGCTGCAGTTCCAGAGGACATGCTGGAAGCCGATCCTGGTCAGGGATCCCGAACAGACAGGAACAGACAGGGACCAGATCCAGATCAGGCAGGAACAGAAACAGGAGGCAGGATCAGACTTCCAGGCATCCACAAGCTCCCAGGAGTGTTCAGACTCTGACAGGGTCCGAAAGGAGCAGACAGGATCAGGTGCAGATGAGCAGGCTCAGTGGAAGAGGGTAGCCGAGACAGGACGTGGAACCAGAACTTGATGCAGGACCTTTAAACTGGTCTCCACCTTGGAGCCAGGCTTACTTGGATAAAAACGGAACCTCCCCGCATATAAAGCCAAAAACCCAGAGGACTCAGCAGGGGAGGAACAGTGGACGATTAGGAGACGGGACAAACACAAAACCCTCTTTCCACTGGCCGCCAGGATCCAGGACATGAACCAAGAAAATAAACTGAACAGACAGGCCAACAGAAAAACAGTTAATGATCTGGCCCTGAATGCTCAGACTGAACTGAATGTAACCAAGAGGAAACAGGTGAGAGGAATAAATTATAATTGAGGCAGGGAGGGAAAACGACAGGTAACAGGAATGACTAATTAAGGGAGGGCAAACAGGCCAGATCATGACAGTATCGAGCCCATAGCGTTTTGCTCTATGGGCTTGACGCATGCACTGACGCATCAGTCTTGCTGGACCCATACTGGTCAGAAGACATTATCTTTTAATAGCTTACCATTGTGTCACTTAATATGTAGAAGTCCTAAACTTTGGACATAGGGATAGCATGCAAAACTAGTTAAACTACTTTGAAACACAAACATCTTTCTGTCTTTAAAGTTGTCATGACACATGAGAATTAGTCTAGATTGTACAGGCATTGCTGAACATTCAAAATCTGCATTTTGGTTGTGAAATGAACATAAAATTCATCTGTAGACCGCTAATGTTTTTCTAGGTGACAGCCAGAATATAGAAGATGTTGGTAAGACAAGTTGAGCTGTGGCCGAGAGCAGGGGTGGAAACCTGGAGGAGCGAATCGAAGGTTAGAAAAATGCATTTTAATTAAGCAATTTAAGACACATGTTAAGATTATTATCTTGAAAGAACTGGCAAATGTGATGTAAATGTCTGGCCAATTGTCATAAATGAATTGAATGTTGATCTCTGACTGCAAGGTCCCTCGTGTGACTTGCAGAAAGCCTGATGTCCGATCAATGGTAAATATAGACCTGTAGATAAGTTTTATCTCATTCATTGCCAGCATGTAGCCTAGCTTACTTTAAATTAAAGAATACAAGCAATACTGATTTTCTAATAAACAGTCTATTTAGTGTGTGAGTGTGTGTGTGAATGACTGAATGTAGTGTAAAGCGCTTTGGTCAAGTCTCCTGACTTGAAAAAGCGCTATATAAGTACAGGCCATTTACTATTTACCATTTTTTATAAAATAAATACTCTAAATTAATCATTTGAAAGGTGAGTAAAATTATTAGATTTTTATATCGGCTTATTTCATTTTCAGGCTAATTTGAATGTATTTTAATTTGTAAACATTTTTTTTCAGATTTTGAAAATTATTTCAGCTGTTTCAATTTAATTATTTGAATTTGATAAAAAAAAAAAAAAAAATAGACTTGAAAGGGTTCAGATATTAATTTGCAATGTTTTGCTAGGTTTTGCTCCAAATCCTATTAGATTCATTGCCAAAAGATTTACCAAAGACATGGAGAGGCTGCGTTCAGCTTCTATGCTCCACATGTCTGGAACAAGCTCCCAGAAAGTCTCAGATTAGCTGAAACACTTAAGTTTATTTAAATCCAGGCTGAAGACCCACCTGTTCTCAGCTGCATTTACGTAGATTCTATTCAAAAGTTAAAATTTGCACGTCTCTGTATTCTCTCTTTTTAATCCTAAATGTTTTTAATTTTAAATCACGCTTTTAATTGTTTTTAATTGTTTTCTTTTCCTTTTGCTTATAATGTTTTATGTAAAGCACTTTGAATTGTTTTGTACATGAAATGTGCTATACAAATAAACTTGCCTTGCCTTGCCAAAGTAAAATCAAAGAAGTGTCCTACCATGACTATAAAGCTGATCCCAGGTGTTTTTTTTTTTTTCCACTCATCACCATCGCTGTTAATATGTGACTCCATGCGTGCCCATCTCACAGCTGATGTGAAAAACATGGGGAAACAAATTAACCCTGTGCTCGCTGTTCAACCGCTCGACATCGGTGTGAACCGGACCCAGCAGGTGCAGCAGAAGCAGCGAGTATACATTCAAAGTCAACGGTTTCCGTGCGTATAGGTGCAGCAAAAGGTCCCGCAGCAGCAGGTGCAGCACGTCGGGAAGCGTTTAAGCATCTGACGCACCGC